TTCCTAAAAATTAGCTACCCACTAACCAACTGACACACGATACCACAATTCCTAAAGACCAGATTTTAGCAACTGCCATTAATTTTAAACAGAAACAATTCTAAAACAAATAAATAAATACATAAATCTTAACAAATAAATAAATAAATCTTAACACCATCCCTTAAACTGATATTTGCAGTTAATATCAGTTTAGAAACAGGCACAATGTAGCAGCAAATCCTTTCTTTATTTTGTCTCCGTTACGGAACAAACTCCTAGCATACTTCGAAGCTTGAAAAATGCAGCAGGTTTTATAGGCTTGGTCAAAATGTCTGCAACCTGATTTTCACTCTTACAGTAAACCAATTTAATTGTTCCATCATTGCTAAGATCTCTTAGAAAATAATATTTCACATCAATGTGTTTACTTCTACCATGTAGTACAGGATACTTGGAAAGTTTGATTGCTGAGTTGTTGTCACAAAATTGTGGTAGCTTCAACTTGTTTTGACCGTAGCTCTTCAAGAATCCGTCTCAACCAAATAGCTTGACAAGCACAAGCTGTTGCAGCAATGAATTCAGCTGCTTCTGTAGATGACAGAGTGACAATTTGTTGCTTCTTAGAAGACCATGAAACAACTCCAGTCCCCAACATGAAAGCATAGTCAGAGTTGCTTCTTCTATCATCTTGATCTCCTGCATAATCACTATCTGAAAACCCGAATAATTCCAACTTTTTTCCTTTCTTGTAGAACAACCCAAAATCTTTAGTTCCTTGTAAATAGCGGAGAATTCTCTTGGTAGCAACTAAATACATTTATGTTGGACTCTCCATATATCTGCTTATTAAGCTCACAGAATACATTATGTCAGACCTTGTTGCTGTTAAGTACATTAAGCTGCCAACAATTTGCTTGTAAAGTGTGTTGTCCACTTTCTTTCCATCATGATCTTTGTTTAGCTTCAAGCCGAACTCGGTTGGAGTGCTTACAGGATTACAGTCCTGCATTTTAAATCTGTCCAAAATATCTTGCACATACTTCCTTTGAGAAATAAAGATCCCATACTCTGATTGCGCTACTTCTTTGCCAAGAAAGTAGTGCATCATACCAAGGTCAGACATTTCAAATTCAATCATCATAGATTTCTTGTATTCTTTCATCATGGCATCATCATTTCTAGTAAATATAAAATCGTCAACATATAAACACACAATGAGCAATTTCCCGATATCTCCCATTTTAACAAAAAGTGTGTGCTCATATGGACATTTGTGAAAACCCTTTTTTAGAAAATAAGCTTCAATGTGACTATACCAAGCTCGTGGAGCTTGTTTTAGTCCGTAGAGAGCTTTCTTCAATTTATAAATTTTATGTTCTAATCCAACCTTTACATAGCCAGAAGGTTGATCAACATATACCTGTTCTTCCAAGTATCCATGCAAGAATGCCGATTTGACATCAAGCTTGAAAATCTGCCACGATTGTAGTGCCGCTAATGCAACCACTAATCTGATTGTGTCATGCCTTGCAACTGGAGAGAAAACTTCTGTGTAATCAATCCCGTACCGTTGCTTGTATCCCTTGGCAACCAAACGAGCCTTATACTTGTCAACTTCACCTTTCTCATTTAGCTTTGTTTTGAAAACCCATTTCACACCAATGGTTTCCTGTCCATTTGGTAGATCACATAGTTTCCAAGTATCATTTTTTTTTATTGATGCAATTTCTGCATCCATAGCCTTTTTCCATTTTGATTCCTTGACAGCAACTTCAAAAGTAGTAGGATCACAATCTGAAAAGAGAGCAAAATGTGTAAGTACACCCTCACCTTGGTCAACTCCAGTAACCTCATAATCTTCCATCCATTTAGGTCTTCTTCTATGACGTTGAGGCCTTTGTGATTCAGCTACAAGTGGACTTTGATCAGCTATAGGAACATTCTGATTTCCTTCTACTTCTTGCACATTTTCCATAGGTTTCTCCCTTTCCTCATGATCATCAAAGGCTATTGGGATACATTGTTTAGCCTCATCTTCTTTCCAGGACCAGGTTGCTTCTTCATCAAAGACTACATTGCGGCTAATAACAATTTTCTTAGTGTTTGGATTGTATAATTTGTAAGCTTTTGATGCATCACTAACAAAAGAAAAATGCATTTTTCTCCCTTGCTATCTAGCTTTTTTCTCTTATGATCTGCAATATGAGCATAAGCGATACACCCAAAAACTCGGAAATAGTCTACGACTGGTTTTCTTCCGCTCCATGCTTCTTCCAGTGTCATATTTTGAACAACAAGTGTGGGACTTCTGTTCACTACATGTATGCTTCAGTTGACAGCTTCTAGCCAAAAACTTTTTGGAATACAACTCCTTGACAAAATGCTACGCACCATATTCATAATAGTGCGATTTTCCTCTCACATACGCCATTTTGTCGGGGCGTATAAGCTGCTGTAAGCTGCCTTTTGATTCCACGAGTCTCACAAAAATTTGCAAATTCATGTGAACTATATTCTCCACCGCGATCTGTGCGTAGAACTTTGATTGGACTGCCTACCTCTTTTTCAACCAATGCTTTATAGCTTTTAAATGCTGGAAATGCTTCAGATTTTTCTTGCAAGAAATAAATCTAAACTTTTCGACTAAAATCATCAATGAAAGTAATTATATACCTCTTACCTCCATTAGAACATGGAGTAATTGGTCCGCATATATCGGAATGAACAAGCTCTAGTGCAGCCTTTTCCCTCCATGATTTTCTTTGTGGGAATTGATTCCGGTGTTGTTTACTAACGACACATTCTTCAGAAACTTCAGAAGGGATTGTAATTTGAGGAAGACCTGTCACCATATTATTTTGTTGTAAAGTCTTTAACCCACCAAAACTGAGATGCCCGTAGCGAAAATGCCAAAGCCATTCCTTTTCTTTTAACCTTGCAAAAAGACATGATTGAGTATTGTCTTGTAGATACAATGGAGACATTCTATTAGTTGTCATGTTCACTTGAGCTATCAAACCCAATTTTTCATCAATTCTGCAAACTCCATTTTTGACATAGATTCCATATCCCTTTTCTTGAAGCTGGCCAACACTTAGTAAATTTGTTTTCAAGTTTGGAACAAAAAGAACATTAGAAATAGTTTGAACATAATTTTTCTTGGTATGAATGCCAATTGTTCCCTTTCCCATGACATAAACTGTATAGGTGTCACCAAATTTAACAGTGCTGCAAAATGATTCGTCTAAGTCAGAGAATGCCTTCTTATCGCCACACATATGATTGCTGCAGCTAGTATCCAAATACCACCGATTATCTGGAATTTCCTCGGTCACATTGCACACCATCAAGAGAGATTCCTCTTCTTCTCTTTCTGCAAAGTTGGTCATTTCTCCATTTTGGCCATTCAAGTTAATTCTACATTCATTTTGATAATGACCATATTTATGACAACGATAGCACTCAACATTAGATTTTGGGCGATAATTGTTTGAATGATTACCTCCACGATAGCCACCTCGACCTCTTCCTCTTCCTAAGTTGTCTAAATTCTGGTGGTTGGCAGGATTGTTGCTATGGTTGTTGCTACGACCATTGTCACCTCTACCGTAACCACCTCGACCTCTTCCTCGGCCTCCTTTAAAATTTGAGGTATTTGAATAAGTCGAGGCTTTAAGTGCTTGCTCCTCTTTGTTTTGGTTGTTGATTTTATTCTCATGAACCAGCAAGAAACTTTGCAATTCATTAATTGAAAGTTCATCCACATCATTTGCTTCTTCTATCGAATAGACAACAAAATTAAATTTTGGTGTCAAGGATCGAAGAATCTTCTCAACAACGGTGACATCTGTTGTCTTGTCACCATGAATCCGCATCTTATTAACGATAGCCATCACTCTTGAAAAGTAGTCCGTAACTAACTCTCCTGATTTCATTCGAAGTAATTCAAACTCCGAACAAAGTGATTGAAGCTGCTGCCTTTGTTCTTGTTGTACCTTGGTATTTCTTCTTCATGGAATCCCAAATATGCTTTGCAGTGTCCTTGCAAAGAATGGTTTCCAAGATTGATCGATCAATTGCTTGAAAAGGATAATTCTTTGCTTTGAGATCCTACAGCTTTAGTCTTTCTTGCTCTGTCTTTTGCTCGTCTGACAACGCAGCATATGCTACGCCAGAAACAACAACCGTCCAGTATTCTTTGGATCTCAAGAAGTTATCCATGAGCATGCTCCAATGGTCATAGTGACCATTAAAGCGTGGAATAGCTGCTTGCACAAATCCATTTTCTGAAGCCATGTGTGAGAAAAAAAATTATGCAGTCCCTCTCACGTAACCTAGCTCTGATACCACTGTTATAAGAGAAACAAAATACTGGATACTTTTATTCATAAGAATAGGCCTTTTTATAAACATTACTAAAGACCAGGTTTTAGCAACTGCCATTAATTTTAAACAGAAACAATTCTAAAACAAATAAATAAATACATAAATCTTAACAAATAAATAAATAAATCTTAACATATATAGTGTTGAGAATATTTGTATATAAAATAGTCACACATCGACTATATCATGTAATTAGTTGTAATCTATTTATATATAATAATGTTTCCGTAATACTTTTCAAAACACACAGTTTATTCATATGTCTCTTAGTCTCTTGTATTTCAACAATAATTAGTTCTCTCCTTGAATTAAGGAGAAAATTATTACATTAAAAAATGAAAGGACATAATGGAATTCTCTAGAATTGTCTAGAAAACAATAAATTACAATAAATTCTCTAGAATTGTCTAGAAAACAATAAATTACAATAAACTAGAGAAATAAATATTGATGTATTTTCCAAACAGTATGTAACCCACCATGATTCCCTCCTTTCATCTTCGTTTACAGTGGGGAAAAATGATAACTGAGAGTATCTAACAATAAAATTTCAAGGAACATATTTTTCTTTTTTTGATTTTTTTAGTTTCTTTAATATTTCAAAAGTTACTCACATGATCTGCTCAACCCAGACTTTGACTCCCTTTATATAAATTGTGGTGGAAATCATGAACAAGTCAATGGAACAAGTTATGAAGGTGATCATGATTCATCTGGACCAGCCAGATTTGATGTCACTGACAATCCAACAGTAAAATGGGCATTTAGCAGCACTGGTAAATTCATCGATAGTGAGATACTTGGAAAAACTTTCACCCCCGAAAATATCTCTAGACTTACTATGGTGGATGCTGAGTTGTACACGAAAGCACGCATTTCTCCTATTTCATTGACTTATTATGGGTTTTGCCTCACAAATGGAAGCTACACAGTAAATCTGCATTTTGCTGAAATAATGTTCACAGACGATGAAACTTTTAGTAGTCTTGGAAGACGTGTATTTGATATCTATCTTCAGGTACATGCTTTAACAGTTTTCTTTCAATCGTCAAGTGATCACTTGGTTACTATAGGGACATTGGCAAACTATTTTTCCAATAAAAATATATAGAATATCGCACTAACAACTGAATCTTTTTCTGATTAGCAGTTCTCGTGTTTGACATTATTTATAAAATAAATGACATTTAAAAAATTTGTAGATTGTAATCATCACGGTACATTATGGTTGTGATTGGAATGTTGTAGGGAAAGCGGGTGCAAAAAGACTTCAATATTGCAGAAGAAGCTGGGGGAGCTGGTAAGAAAGTCATAAAACAGTTCAAAAATGTTGCTGTTTCTAGTAATACTTTGGAGATTCGTTTGTATTGGGCTGGAAAAGGGACACAGTATCTCCCAAATAAATCAGTATATGGTCCTCTTATATCAGCTATATCAGTGGAATCTGGTGGGTTGTACTTTGTACCTTTCTAATCTAATGCTATCTCCATGTTATGGTCTAATATTAAAAATGTACTTATCATAATAAACAAGCAGACTCTCCACGTAGAAGGATACCTGCTGGAGCTGTGATTGGAATTGTGGTTGCAGCAACAATTATTATCATTCTAGTATTCGGTATACTCTGGTGGAAAGGATGTTTTGGAAAGAAAAACTCTTTAGCAAAAGGTGATAACAAAGAAATTTCTTTTGTTGCTATTATTATAAAAGTTTTTGCCAACACATGAATTAATTAAGTGATACAAAATAAATTTGCTCATGTTGTGTAACCGAATGAGTTTGAGGACATACTTTTATTAGTATATCATGTTATGGAACCAGAGACTAGTTTTAGTATCCATGTGTTATTCTTAGTTCAAGCTATTTTGATAAAAAGAAAGTTGCAAGCTTTCTAGAAATGGATTGTCGATGCAGAGTGTCCAAGTGTAAATTCTTAGTTCAAGCTATCTTTGATCATTCTTTTACTTAAATTAGCAGAGCTGAAGAGTTTAGAGCTTCAAACTGATCTATTTACCTTTAGACAAATCAAATCCGCAACAAATAACTTTGATGTTTCCAATAAGATTGGAGAAGGAGGATTTGGTCCTGTGTACAAGGTATTTTGCATAATATAACAAATCCTCTTGGGTGTCATGCTTTTATTTTAATTTTACATGTATTTTGAGAAAATCATTTCTCTACTTCTAAATCAACATTCCTCAAAATGCAGGGATGTTTACCCAATGGGACATTGATAGCAGTCAAACAACTTTCTTCTAAATCAAAGCAAGGGAACCGTGAGTTTTTAAATGAGATAGGCATGATTTCTGCTTTGCAACACCCTTATCTTGTTAAACTCTATGGCTGTTGTGTGGAGGGAGATCAGCTGTTGCTGATATATGAATACTTGGAAAACAATAGTCTTGCTCGTGCTTTATTTGGTAACTTCCCTACATTGTCTTCTTCAGCTGCTATTTATGTGATAGTTCACATTTTTTAACTTAGCACGTTACCACGTGGTATCTTGTTCTGATTTTTTATTACATTCACAAATAAAGGTCCAGAGGAACACCAAATAAAATTAGATTGGTCAACAAGGAAGAAGATCTGTGTTGGTATTGCTAGAGGTTTGGCATACCTCCATGAAGAATCAAGATTGAAGGTTGTTCACAGGGACATCAAAGCCACTAATGTGTTGCTTGATAAAGATCTCAAACCAAAGATATCTGATTTTGGTTTAGCCAAGCTTGATGAGGAGGACAATACTCATATTAGCACTAGAATTGCGGGGACCTAGTCAGTAACTAAATTCTTGCCATCTCTGAGTTTATTAAAAAGTTATCAAGTTCAATTCAAATGATATTTATGTGATATAGTAGTTCTTATCTCTTGTTGTATACTAATATCAAGTTGTTGCAATGATATGTTTCAATAATGTAGTGGATACATGGCTCCTGAATATGCAATGCATGGTTATTTGACGGACAAAGCAGATGTTTATAGTTTTGGAGTTGTTGCCTTGGAAATTGTTAGTGGAAGGAGCAACACCCTTTATCGGTCAAAGGATGAAGCATTCTATCTTCTTGATTGGGTAATTTTTTTCATGTTCTCCCTGATCATGCAAATTTGATAATACATGGTACTATCTACTTACACTTCATTTTGTGTTATGGCATACACATATTGTAGTTCATTTTTCATGTAATAATTCAACTCTGCAAGAGAATGAAATCATGTCACTTTTTCTTACCCCTTTCCTTGTACTGACCAACGTTAATTTTGAAAAGTTTGAGAACATTTTTCTGTTGAAGTATTACGTTTCACTTGGACAATGAAGAGGATCGGAAAAGTATGTACTTTTAATCTGTCTAGAAGAGTAATTGTGGAGGATATTTCATAAACCGGAGGGATGACACGGTTTGCAAAAAAAAAAAGTCTCACCAAAAGACAGTGGGTCAACCGGGTAAAGCACGGTGAAAAAAAAAAATTTTTGTCTCTTAGTAGGCTCTAGATACCATATTGAATTAGGAGAGACTAAGAGACATTTAGAATAAACTGTGTTTTTAAAAGCACTACGGAGACATTATTATATATATAAAAAATTACAACTAATTACATAATATAGTCAAATCAGATTATTTTATATACAAATATTCTTAACACTATATATTTACAAATATTTAAATATTTAACGGTTATAAATTAATTGACATCATTTTGGTTTAGATATTTCACAGAAATATGACCAATTTTCAGAAGTTGAATGTATCTATTGTAAATGATTTGGGTTTCAAATCAAACTCTTGTTCTTTTTTTCTTTCAACAGGCACATTTGATGAAAGAGAAAGGTGACTTAATGGAGCTAGTTGATAGAAGATTAGGATCAGATTTCAACAAAAAGGAAGCTATGGCGGTGATCAATGTGGCTCTCCTATGCACCAATGTCACTTCAAACCTTAGGCCCTCCATGTCGTTGGTGGTAAGTATGCTCAAAGGTAGGACTGTGGTTCCAGAATTCGTTGCAGATTCAAGTGAAGTAATGGATGAAAAGAAGTTTGAAGTAATGAGGAAGTATTACTATCAGATTGAAGGAAATGAGATAAGTAAGTCAGAAACACAAAGTCAGAGTTTATCAATTGATCGGCCATGGACGGCTGCATCTTCCTCAGCTGTAGACCTTTATCCAGTGCACCTTGATTCTTCCTATTGGGAGGAAAGAAATTAAGAGTTTATCAATTGCATATGCCTGCTTGATCTCTTGCCAATATGCCTTGTGATGAAACTGTGATGCATTTAAAATTGAGTACTCCAACCCTATTTATAAATATCGTTGTCATTTTAAGTGTCGTGTTTATCCAATATCCGTTTTGTTGAATACAGAGTGCTCATAGGCTTTTTGATAGTTAAACAGCTTCATTATCTATATATTGAAATGATTTGATTCTCTAAGGTGACATTCAAATATTACAACCATTTGATTCCATTAAAAGTTGTTGATCTCTTGAATTTGTTATTATTGAATTAGGAGAGACAAAGAGACATTTAGAATAAACCGTGTGTTTTTAAAAGCACTACAGAGACATTATTTACAAATATCAATGTGAGACTATTCTATATATTACAACTAATTACATTATATAGTCGATGTGAGACTATTCTATATACAATATTCTTAACACTATATATTTACAAATATCAACACTCTCCTTCAAGCTTGAGCATATAAGTCAAATGCACCAAGCTATTTACATATATAATTGCTTACGGGGCAGGAATTTTGTAAACACGTCTGTCAATTGATCATTAGAGTTGACAAAACTTATGGCGATGCCGCCTGACTCAATCTTCTCTCTAACAAAGTGACAGTCTATCTCAATATGATTGGTCTTCTCATGGAAGACTGAATTTGAAGCAATGGCAATGCAACTTGATTATCACAAATCAGTGTGATTGGTCTTACTTCTTTAATTTGAAGTTCCTTGAGTAATTGTTTTAACCAAATAAGTTCACATGTTGTCATTGTCATGACCCTATACTTTGCCTCAACGCTTATCTTGCAACTACATTTTGTTTATTATTTTTTCAGGATATAAGGTTTCATCCAACAAGTATATAATACCCAAAGGTGGATCGTCTATCAATGGTGACCCTACCCAATTACCATCAGAGTATCCAACTATCTAGGTATGTCCTTTATCCTCATACATAAGACGTTTTCCTGGAGCACATTTGATGTATCTCAGAATCCGGATACCAACATCCATGTGTACCTAACAAGGGAAATTTAAGAACTGACTTACCACACTGACTGTAAAAGAAATGTTCGAGCGAGTGACTGTGAGATAATTCAACTTTTCAACCAATCTCTTATACCTTCCTGAGTTAGATAGAGGCTCCCCCTGATTTGGATAGTAGTTTGACACTTGAATTCATATGAGTACCATCTGGTTTAACATTTAACAAACTTCTTTCTTTCAAAATATCCATAGCATATTTCCGCTGGGAAATCATCAAACAATCTTTAGATTGGGCTACTTTAATACCCAAGAAATAACGAAGTTTACCAAGATCTTTTGTATGAAATTGTTTTGAGAGATGTTGTTTCAATTGGAGTATTCCCTGCTGATCACCACCAGTTTTGACAATGTCATCTACGTACACAATAAGATAAATACACCATTGGGCCGAGTGATGATAAAAAACAGAATGGTTAACTTCACTACGAACCATACCAAACTGTTGTACTACAATGCTGAATTTTCTAAACCAAGCTTTCGGGAATTGCTTAAGACCATAAAGAGACCTGTGTAGCCTACAAACCATATTCGATGACTCTCTTGAGCAAACAAAACTAAGGTGGTTGCTTCATATATACTTCCACTTCAAGATCACCGTGTAAAAATGCATTTTTGATGTCAAGTTGATGAAGGGGCCAATGTCGAATGGCTGCAATGGATAGAAGAAGTCTAACATATGCCATCTCAGCTACAGACGAAATGGTATCATTATAATTCAACCCAAAAATTTGAGTGTATCCTTTGACTACCAAAATCGAGTTTTAAATCAATCAATCTTACAATCTGAACCAACCTTCACTGTATAAAGTCAACGAAAACCTACTACTGATTTCCCAGAGGGTACAGGAACCAGTTCCTAGATACCACTACTTTGAAGAGCACACATTTCATCAATCATTACTTGTCTCCACTCATGGTGAGATAATGCTTTACCTGGAGTTTTAGGAATAGAAACAGAAGACAAAGAAAACAAACAAGTATACTACAAGGGGAAAAAACGATGATAACATAAATCAATATAATGTGGAGAAGGATTTTGTGTTTGGCGTTTACCTTTTCAAAGGACAATCGGAAGATCAGACTTAGGTTGCAGGATTAGATCTGGTGATGGTAAGAGCGTCGGAGGAGAGATTGTATTGGCCTTATGGATAGGTACGACCTCATAGACAAGTACAACAGACGTTGGGTGACGATGCTGATATGTTTGAAGTGAGCGAAAAGTAAGGGGTCAACCGCAAGGGTATCTAGTGGGCCAGGTTCCCTAGGATGATGGGGGATAATGATATGTGGGATTTCTGAAAGAGGTGTGAGAATATTTTCCTGTAGAGGTTCTAGAGTAACTTAGTTGGACTCAAAATATGGAACAGACTTGAAGAAGGTAACATCGGTTGTACGAGGTATCATTGTAGAGTATGAGAGTAGCAACGATAACCCTTTTGGGATCGATGATAGTCAAGAAAGACACTTTAGTGATCGAGTTGATAGTTTATCAAGACCAGGGGAGAGATTGTGTACAAAATACATAGACCCGAAGACTCGAGGAGGAATTGGATGGAGAGGAGAGTTTGGAAACAAGATTGAATGATGGATTTTATTATTAAAGACATATGATGGTATGCGATTTATGAGGTAACATGTTGTGAACATCGCATCCCCCAAAAACCGAAGAGGAACATTACCATGGAGAAGTAGGGTCCGAGTGGTTTCTACAAGATGCTGATTTTTGCGTTCGACTACCCTGTTTTGTCGGGGGGTGTATGAGGGCAAGATGTTTGGTGCAGAATACCATTGGATGACATAAAAGTTTGAAATTGTTGGTGATCTGACCTGATCAGGAGGGATCACGGACTGGCCACACTCCGCTGGACGGTTATCTGTTCGCCGGGGTAAGAAAGAGGAGGGGGGTGTACCTGCAAAGCACTCCGACGCCCAAGTAAGAAGTTGGACAGAGAGGAAGCAATAGTACAGGAAAAGGGGGCAAGAAGAGTTCCCTGACCCTCTTGAAGAAGAGGGTATTTATAGAGAGACCCCAGCGCTGGGCCAACGGTCATTCGAGGTGGGCCAGACGACCAGGCCCAACCCTAATGACTGCTAGGGCTTACGTGGCGTAGTGAAGACCAGGACGTGGTCTTCGCCCTAGTTCAACCGCTCCTAGGTCTCCGGAAAGTGGGTTTGACCTGCTCTTTCGGAGGTGGGCGGTTGGCCGATGACGTGTCCCCGCGGAGGGGAGCACATGGAGAACGTGCGCCGAGCACGTTATTCTCCCGCGGAGGGAGCCCGGGTGGTCTTGCTCGTCCGGCGTGACGGACGACAAAAGGGGCGTGGAGCGGTAGCTTGTGCCCGGCGGCCAGTCCTGCTCGTTCGAAGGGGCGCGTGCCAGGCGTGCCCAGTTCGCTTGTTGGGCCGCATTTGGTATTGGGCCTGCCGAGGTGAGGCCCATACCGGAACAGGAGCCCCCCAAGTCGAAGCTCTGGGGAAGAGCGAGGACTTAAGGTCGTCGTGTCTGGAGCGGGGACTCGCACGAAGGGCTCCGGTCGTCGGTAGAACGGGGAGGAGGCAGATGAAGGGACGCGACTGTCAGGTTGCCTCCACGTGTCTTGTGTTAAGCGGTCGTAAGGGCGGCTAACCTATGTCATTAATGAGCCTAGAGTCGCTTCGAGTCCCGCGCCGGGTTATAAATATGGCGGTCCTCGCTCATTCTGTTACTTTTCTCCCTGCTAATCTTTTATCGTCTCTGCTCGTCCGCCGCTTGCCGCCGATCGCCGCCGTGCCGTTTGCTCTTTTCTTCCGTCCGCCGCCGTTACAAGTGAGTTCCTCTTTTCCCTCTCTTTTTATTTCCGTCGTCTAACTGGAACGTGTGGTCGGGGCGGGATGAACGCCCCGAGGAGGGATGTGAGTTCCGCCGCGTCTGGCGAGTTTTCCGATGAATGTCCCGGGGACGGTAGGCTAGTTCCGATGAATGCCCCGAGGACAGGAGCTTTTTCTGATGAATGCCCAGAGGACGGGGGCTTTTCTCCGATGAATGCCCCGAGGACGAGGGCTTTTTCTGATGAATGCTCCGGGGAGAAGTACCTTCTCCGACGGCCGTCCCGAAGGGGGTGAGGGGTCGTTCTTCGATCCCCGAGGAGGGTAGACGGGGAGCGAATGTCTGCTCGTCGCTCCTCGGCCTTTGTCGCCCTTTCACTTGACTTGCGGTGGAAGGGTGGATTTGATCCTGGCTATCGAATTCACCGATGTCCTCTGCTTTCAGGTGTAGATGTCGGCTCTGGTGCCGGGGATAATGGTTGAAGATATTGAACCCGAGGTCCCGGAGTATGACGACGAGCGTATCGCCCCGTCCGAGGAGTGGGCGGCCGAGGAGCCACTTTCCATCCCCTCTTGCTTTGTGGTCGACTCGTCCGACGTGTATGCCACGGTCGAGGACACGCCGATAGGAGAGACGCAACACTGGCAGGTGTACCGCCCGAAAGAGCACCACCGGATCTGTTCGCGATATGGGCGGAAGATGTTCCCGATGTATGAATTTTATTTTAAAGAAGCTCGGCTCCGGTTACCGTTTTCCGCCTTCCATCTGGGGCTTTTTGACTGGCTGCGTCTTGCCCCGTCTCAGCTGCACCCAAACGCTTTGGCTTTCATCCGGGCTTTCGAGGTGGTGTGTTTCTACCTCTCGGTGGAGCCGACGGTGCCGTTATTTTTCCGCATCTTTCATTTGCAGCGGCAGACGGTGCGAGGTCGTCACGGATGGGTCTCTTTCAAACAATCGACCAAAATTTTCAAAGCGTATAGCGATTCTGTCAAAGACTTCAAAGGTCGGTTCTACCTCGTCAAACCGATCACGCAGCACGGCTCGGACACTCTCTTTGACGAGGGCGAGCGCACGGTAGATGGCCAGCGGTTCCGCGCGTGGCTTCCTAAGATACATCTACTG